CTGGATTGAATGGTCACAACTATTACATTATACATTAGGACAGCGAAAGTTGAAACCACAACGTTTGCTGATTCCGTAAAACTACAGATAACCTTGGAATCTGAACAAATCCCGGAACCCTGGACCATAATTCTGGTGATCTCACTATAGATCTACACACAAGTTTCTCCTATTGATTAATTTTGGGCTCAGGGTAAATAGCGCGCTTCCCGCCATTTTTAAATTTAGCAGACTGCAACCAATGACATATGCACAGCAAACGAATATATTTCGCCGTACCACCATGCGACGATGAAAAACGATCGAAAGGAAAAAATTGAAACATGTGAACGACTTGTTTTCAACAACTATTTTTCTGAATCATAAAAAGCCCTTGAAGTGTCGCCCAGCATCGGACGGCATTCCTCTCCTCAGGCTAGGCGATATCCTCCCCATCAAGTTAAAAGAAAGCCACTAATTCGAAGGTATAACAGCTATAGAAGAAGAGATAACCAACAAGAGCTTGTTGCTGCTGGACTTGCTGCTGTTGAGAAAACCGTTGTTGGGTTTGTTGTTGGCTCAGGAGCTGCTGTTGCAAAACCTGAAAATCAGGCGTACAAAATTACAAGTGGAAACAGGTGAAGACGATAGAAAACAACAGTTTACCTGTTGTTGTTGCTGTTGCTGTTGAAAGACTGGTTGCATTTGTTGCGATTGCATCATGAACAGTTGTTGTTGTTGTTGAAATGGATCCATGGACAACATCTGAGACAAAAATTACATACAGAATTGTCGTTCAAGAAAACACCAAACTCTACCTGATTATTGCCATAGAACGAATTAAAACTGTTCATATACTGCTGTTGGGCAAGCAACATCTGAAACGCTCATCCAATTATTTAATTACATAAAACACGGTTCAAAATGCAGGTTAAGAAGATGTAATTTTGCTAAACTGTACCTGCTGATTGTATTGAGTCTGCCCTAACCCTTGTGCAGTCATTGGCTGGCCCTGGATCCCCATGTTAAGGTTTCCATTACCCTAAAACTTCCATAATATTCACACGACAACAAAAAAATTAATCTAAGGTATAACTCAAAAGAAAGTGGCAATTTAAATTTAAACAATGGAGAAAGAAACGGTGATAGAAACTTAAAGAAACGACTGACTTGAGGATTATGAGGATCCATCTGGTTGAAGCGCCGTTACAGCACTACTCCATGCAGAGCACGAAATGAGTCCAAAGTAGATTACAGATCGAATCCAAATGCAAAATAAGCAACGTCGATAAAAGATCTGAAATTGGGGCACCTTCATTCATATTAGCTGTTTCAAGACCCATTCGAGTAATTTGGCACCCAATCCGTGTGAAAAGATTACTACTGTACTTGTACTATAGAAAATAGAAGCAAGAAGCCTGATAACTATAATTTTAAACAAGGACCAAAGTCTCGACTAGTGTGCAGCGTCGCAAAACCTCGTGCACCGGTCGCGTGCGACATCGCTGCGATCGAAGCGACGTCGCGTGACAACTTGCGCGGCGGAACGTGAGCGCGACGCCGTTGTCCTCCGCGGCACAGCTGTTTGCTTGGTGTACCGCTGGGATTGATGTCGTCCCCACTTTCTCTCGGGTTCTCGGGTTTTTCTTGATAACACGTCTAGAAAAGTACAGAAGCGATAGATTGCTCGTTCTCAGCTTAATATGGCGGCACTGTGAGGCCTGGCTTTGGCGTTAGTTATGGGATCGCCTCATCAACCACGTTCCTGCCATTTTTGGGTGCGACCCCCACCACCACCATGAGACTCAGGAGCCTCCTCTAAACGACCACCCTTCTCGGACCACCCCCTCGCCCCACCAGCCAGAATGACTGCTTCCATCCTATAGTATTTGATTCTGAGACCAGTCGACACAGCCCTACTCCGCCACCTTTTCCTCCAAAAAAGGCGTCGAGGGGAGGGGTAGAAGTGCAATGAAACCGCAAATTTCCTCTCCTCCCACCTATCCTATGCGTGCCAACTACACCTACCAGAGCCCTCAAAAACCAATCTAGATTGCCACAAATGGACCCCCTCGTTGGAATAGGTTGACCCTGGACCGGAGGTCAGTACTATGCGGGTGAGTCTGGAAACACTGCCCACACATATTTTGCTCTTTACTGAAAGGACAATGCGATCAGGTCAATTGCTGGCCCATTCCCGATGTCTCGGCACCGGCAGAGGTCATTTTGAACACTCGAAAACGACAAGAATTTTCATGACAACGTAATGGTTGATTTTAAACCTGCTGACACACTCTAACTCCACACATCTACGAATGAGCCAAAATTTGAAGGCGGAATCTCGCCAAAATTGCCAAAATCCGTTAGGAAGATCCATTCTCCACCTCCACTACAACACGACGCCACAACTTCCGCCATCATAATGATGTTTGGAAATCATCAGAAACAGACATGAACCCCTTCCCGAATCACATTACACAAAAACGGTTGGTTGACCTGGTACAGGGTGGTTATTTTCACGCTTTAGATCTTAATTTCTATGATCTTGGCCTTACATAGGCTTTCATAATACTTATGCAGGCTTCGTAGCATGAACACCATACACACACCACCTGCGGCACACCGTACTCTTCCTTCCCACTCTGGTTGCAATAGTTCAGTAGCTGGAATTACTATATCTGGGAGGCTCTTCAGTAATATGAACCAGGGTGAAAATCGTGTCGAGGAAATGGCCGCCTCTTTACGACCCCCCCCTTAACAGGACTCCGATACGACCCCTTTTTATCCTCCGCACATCCTGTTTTGATGGAAGATGTTAGTTTCAGATGTAGAGAGGGAGGCAGTGCCGCTGCCACGCAAATGCTCCGCGCTGAACCCATTTCGCTTGATTCTCCTCCCATACTGCCAAGACATTTAGTTTTTGCCACATTGGCCGGGAAGTAGAACATTGAAGGAGGTACTGCCTACACACAGTTGAACAGTCTCGCGCTCCAGTATAGCGGCGCTAACTACCCGCGATCGCGTCGCGCGCTGTGCCTAGAGCGCGCTAGTTGGAAAAATCGTCAAATGTACCCCCTATTTAAAGGACTATAACTTTCTTCATTGATAACCATTTCAGAAAGTGAAGGCAGCTTTTGAATGCACAAGACTTCTAGTTTCTAAATTGTGCTGAGCGTTTTTCTAAGCACGCCTATCTCGAGAGTGGGAGACGTCGAGGAAGTTGTCGAGCAAAAAAAGTTTCCACTCTTCGGAAGAGAGCAGCTTTCTTCATTGGCAATGCTTTGAAAATCGAAAAGCGTTGTAAAGTAGAAGATTTACGCTTTTGATAGGTGCTCCAGTTGTTTCGAACGCTTTCTAGTTCGCGAGAAATCTGCGTCGAGGAAATGTCAAGGAAATTTTCGAAGCCACTCGAAAACTCTATTACTCCCTCGCCGTAGTAGGGAACTTCTTTGAACACCTTCAAAATGCTTCTGTACACGTCAGTTCGATGGAGTAAATTGAAAATGATGCACTTGGCGCAGATCCATTCCGTTCTTGTATGCGCCATGCAGTGACCCCACTCGGAGTCATTGGGAAGGTGTTTTGTCACACGACAACTTGCTTGTGCACATTGAGAGGTGTTTTTCTTCCAACTAATTAGAATACTCTTGTGGTCATGGTATAGTCTGATCATTCCTTTATTTACGTCGCTTCCTTTCCGACCCCATGTCGTCGTACTGATCATTACGGAGCAAATAAACAACCACTTTCCATTTAAATTTTATTCCAGACAGTTGTAAGATATTATTTGCATTACGCTAACTACAACACTTGTGAAATTAATGATGACAGCAAATAAGTGGCAGCAGCACCGTTGTGTCCGTTGATGAACCTTTTGATTACGACCCCCTCCCTCCAACTCTCATCGGAGCAAATACGACCCCTTGTCGAGGATTTCCTCGACCGTCATTCACTCTGATGTCAACAAGGAGACTATCGGAACAATGACAATTTTAAAGTAGTGAGAATCTGCGCACCTTAGCTTACGGTAGATTTTGGAGCTTACAAGCGGGGTCAACCGTCCATTGCTTCAAGTCCAAAGATGAACGATCCACCCTCTTTTGGGGGAGGGGAGGGGGGGGGAGCTCGATATCCCCCTTCACCGTCACCTTTGAGGGAAGGGGGAGCGGTCTTCTCAAACGATGCTGCCTCCTCACCCCCAGCCACAACTCTCACCATCATGGCGTTTTTACAGTATCTGATTTCAAGAACACTGCTCATAGCCCAAACCCGCCCACGTTTCCTCAATACGGCGACGTGGGTGGGGAATCAATATGTCTAAAGAAAGCGTCAAATCTCCTATTTCTATCTATAGTTAGTATTTCGATTTTCGATTCAACAAAATCGTCGAAAACCTGTCAAACACGAGCACTACCTCCCGTCACCAAAGTCTATGATATAAGCATCTAGTGGTTGAAGCTGCCCCAACTCATTGCGAAGGCCAAGGTTCTTTATAAAGGGTCTGAACAATACGGGCTGCAGGGCATGCTCTGCTATGTGGTACCGCCAGGGTCAAGCGTGCGTTGAGGAATCCTCGACATGTCACAGGGGGGGGGGGTCGTATTGGCCCGCTGGGGGAAGAGATCGGGCCCGATTGATGCAGTAGGATCATCGTCGGAGGACAAACATCAAGGATCGAATCGATGCCAGGGCCAGAGGATTTCCAATAACAATTGATTCCGCCCACACAAAATTTTCGTGATTCAGAGGTGTCCGCGTAGTAATTCTTAGTTACTTCAGTCTTTTTACTGTCAAAGAGGGACATACCGGCCTCGAGAGATCAGCTGTAGATCAGCTGGTCTGAGCGGTATATCGACAGGGAGGTGGTAGGGGTTGATCGCGGGGGGTCATGAGAGGCCACCTTTGCCAGAGGGAAACGAGTCGCGCGGGAAGGTCCCAATAAAAGGGGTCCGTGTTCCTTGCAGTATTCTAGTTCTAGTTCCAGTTCCAGAGCTCCGGTGTTCCCTCCCGAGCTCTGATGTCCTAAGTCCAGCGGTCCAGCGTTCCAGCCTTCCAGCTACAACGTGGCTTCGTGGCATTTTGGGAGGGAGCACTAGTGGCCCATGAGAGGAGGGGGGCATGAGCTCCGTATAGATCGCCTTGGTGGCTTGCTTAAGAGGGGTTTAGTGGCCGTATAGAGGGAGCCTAAGTGGCTCTCCGGTGATCGCCTTAGTGGCATAGTAAAGAGAGCCTTAGTGGCTTAGTAGAGGAAGCCTGTATGAATGAATCTTTGAGATCAGGTCGCGCCCTGCACCCGCGTCGTGGACCTACATTCTCTGCGACTCCCGTGTTCATTCAACCCAATCCGTCTCCTAGTTCACAGACATCTATTAATTGTTCATATTTGTTGATTTCGTTGTTTAATAACTTTTTTCGTACTGCTTGTCTCACACGCACAGTTGTAAGGGTTACTGCGCCGTCGTATCTTATGAATCCACTATCTCACCGTACATGGGGCCGAACCGGGTCATACAACAGGAAAAAGAAGAGGAGAGGTTACAGTGAAAGAGCGTGTGTATGTACCGCCTCGTAAGGTCGTTCAGCGCTAAGCAGTGGCGACCGTTTGGAAGAGGTGGAGCGAGTGATTTGGCCTACCAAAGGAGGGGGTACCACCCGGCGTGAACAGTTTTCCGGAAATCAGGAAGCGGTTGTGCCTGTCTTCAATCATAGTGATGAAGTGTTGGTGCTTCAGCAGGATAAAGAGGTAGGACGCTGGGGCACTGACAAGTGGCATAAGCAATGACCCATTGAAAATGGATTATGGAGAACACATGGGGCAAGGGCAAGAAAGGCTAGAAAGATTAAGAGAATTGAATGAAAAAAAGCACAGAAGTAGGACATTTAGATGAAAGCATACGGAATTTGCTAACATTTCGGATGCATTTGCAGCGTGTGAGAGAACTTTCTCAGACAGATATGACAGAAATGACTATCGATACGGGAGACAGTAGCCCTATAAAAATGAAAGCAAGACCCGTTCCGTTAGGGAATCAGACCGAAATTGAAAGAGCTTTTGACAGACTTACTAGATAGGAATATAATCGAAAAGAGCAAGTCGGAGTGGGCCTTCCCTATAGTTCTAGTTGAGAAAAAAGATGGTTCCATTCGATTGTGTGTGGACTATAGGGAACTCAACAAAAGAATGAAATTAG